TCATTCTTTATTTCCATTTTTATTTTTATTTTTATTTTACATCTTATTTTATATTTTTATTTTATTTTATATATTTTTATATTTTTATTTATATTTTCAATTATATTTTCCTTATTTGTCATTTATTTATTATTTTTATTTTTTATTTATTATTATTATTTTCATCTTCATTTTTATCTTTATTATTATTTATTTTTATCTTCATTATTATCTTTTCATTATTCTTTTTATTATTTTTTTCATTATATATATTTTTCATTATTTTTAAATATTATTTAATTTATAATTTATATTCTTATTTTTATTTTTCTTATTTAAATAATAGCATGCTTTAGGTATTGGTATTATTTAGTTTATGTTTGTATTTCACTATAAGCAGGCTGTAAAAGCTATGTGTAAATAGTATATTTAAATATTGTAGTGCTATTTTGAGTGTATAACATTCCCCATCTCTTCTTTGCCTCCGGTCCACACATATCGAATTTGCTCATTCCTGAGAGGAACATAGAGAAGAAACAGATCATTTACGGCGAACTTCCGGGTTTCGGCAGTGGAACGCATGGTGGAACGCATACGAGATCAGGGCCGGTGCTAGGATTTTTGACTACACAGGCGAAGATGCATTTTGACGCCCCCCCCACCCCCCTCAAAAAATAAACAATGCATCTTCACCTCTGTGTCTCGTAGCCCCCTTTTGAATTTCTTACCCCCATTAGTGTTGCATATCCACTCTCTTGAATGTCTTATCCTTTTGGCCCCTTTGTGCCTTACACCCCCCTTTAGTGTGTCTCCTACAACACCTCTTATGTATTTCTTACTTCCCCGCCAGCCCCTATCTATCTCTCTTTTTCTCCCACATAGACATAGATACAGGCAAAAATACATACATGCACAAATACACAAACATACAGACACACAACCATACAAGCACACAGACATAATTTTTCAGGCACACAGTCACAAAGATATACAGACACACAGTCATAAAAGGCACACAAACAAACACAGTCATACAATCTACACATACAGGTACATTGTCATACAAACACAGACATACATTCATACAGACACAGGCACTCACAGAAATACAGACACAGACATAAAGAAACATAGAGATAGGCATACAGAGACATACATACACAGACAAACAAAGAACCCTGCACACTGATACCGTGTAAATGCTCCGGCCATCAACAGTGGTGGATGCTCCGTGTCAGGCGGACATCGCTGGATCCACCAGTAAAGTCTTCAAAAGGAATAAACGCAGGCAACACTCCAATAGTAAGGATGGTATATTTATTGGTAGGTGAACCACCCCATAGAAAGTGTGATGTTTCAGCTCATACAATAAGGCTCTGCTGAGCCGAAACGACGCACTTTCTTTGGGGTGGTTCACCTATCAATAAATATACCAGCCGTACTATTGGAGTGTTGCCTGCGTTTATTCCTTTTGAATACATACACACAGTCATACAGAGACATACATGCTGTATGTCTCTGTATGACGGTCTGTGTATGTACACAGGATGGCTAAAAGATAGATCCCCATCTGTCGTGCAACTTCAACAATGCTTTGCAAGCTGGGGCTCTACCGATTCCTCATGCTTGCAGGATTGTATTTAGCATGGAGCAGTATTTGTGTGTTTGACTGTAAGCATGTGTTTGTATGGAGTATGTTTGTATGATTGTAGCGGTGTGTTTGTATGTAGTGTTTGCATTTGAAGGCAAGCATGCATTTATGTGTAGTGTTGGTTTTTGAACGTAGGTGTGTGTTTATATATAATTTTGGTGTCTGATACAGAGGTGTGTTTGTATGTAGTGTTGACATTTGAATGCAGGGGTGTGTTTGTAAGTAGTGTTGACGTTTGCATGCAGGTGTTTATTTGTGTGTAGTGTTGGTGTTTGAATGCTGAGATATATGCACATATACACATACACTGCCACACACGCACACACTGTGATACACATACACAAAGACACACTAACAGACAGACATACACACACACACTGACAGACATTTAGATACACACAGACACACGGACAGAGACATATACACACACACACACTGACAGACATGGATACACACACACACACTGACAGACAGATACACACACACACTGACAGACATATATACACACACACTGACAGACATAGATACACACACACTGACAGACATAGATACACACACTGACAGACATATACACACACTGACAGACATATACACACACACACAATGATAGACATACACAAAGACACACTAACAGACAGACATACACACACACTGACAGACATTTAGATACACACAAACACACGGACAGAGACATATACATACACACACACTGACAGACATAGATACACACACACTGACAGACATAGATACACACACACTGACAGACATAGATACACACACACTGACAGACATATACACACACACTGACAGACATACAGATACACACATACACAATGATAGACATACACAAAGACACACTAACAGACAGACATACACACACACACACACTGACAGACATTTAGATACACACACACACACATATACATACACACACACTGACAGACATATACACACACACTGACAGACATAGATATACACACACACTGACAGACATATACACACACACACTGACAGACATATACACACACAGACACACTGACCAACAGGTTCAGGAGGGTGGCTTACCTGGGATCCAAAGTGCTGCCTGAGGTAGTTGGGAGTTGGAGGAGCTGGTCCTGCCCAGCCCCCCTCCTCTCTGCCTTCTGCTGTTCTAGTCTTTTTGGGAGGACTTCCTCCCATGCTGATTAGAAGGGGGCCGGTGGTAGCTCCGCCCCTGCTGGGCGCCAGCCGCGCTGTGTGCTACAGTGGGAGCAGGGATATGACGTTCATATCCCCGCCCCCTCCACACAGTCCGCGGCACTGCAGGTTGGCGCTCGGCTACGCTACAAGAAGTGACCGGCAGGAGAGGGGCGCTGTGCGCTTCCCTCCTGCCGGTCACCTGGACATTTGCGCCCCCGGGCCGGTGCGCCCTAAGGCGGCCGCCTGTGCCGCCTTATGGACGCGCCGGCCCTGTACGAGATTGACGGGCGCACAGGATGCCGTCATAGATATCGGACGCCGGACCGAAAATTGAAACACCTGGATTAAATGAAGAGTTATGTGGACATTGGGGGAGGTATAAAGGGTGGAGGAGGAAAGGGATTTTTATTGTTTATTTGTATGCTGTCATTTCTGGTCACTGAAGTCCCTGAGGAAGTCCTATACACGGACGAAAGGCGTAGGACCCCTGGTGGTGACAGTGAGACTACATCCATTGTTTTATATTTTGATGTAAGTTATTAAATTATTTTTTCTAAATTTTTAAATGTGCACTACAATTTTATTGTTTTTTCTTTGAGCACACACCTTTCAGCCAATCCATGAGATATTGAATAGAGATGGAAGAATTATTTCTGGAAAGGCATTTATACTGAAAAAGGAATTTATTCTAAAGGCCTTCTAATTCCAGCGAGAGTGTGAGTGGCCATTTGTGAATTGTACACTTGGTTTATTCATATACACAGTTATGCGCTATGTATTGTTCTTGTCATTGGTTTAGCAGATTATCCCCTAATTTTCTGTATACTGACATTATATCCTGCTGTGCTTTGTATATACAGTTATGCTCAAAAGTTTGCATACCCTTGGAGAATTGGTAATATATGTACCATTTTTAAAGAAAACGTGGGTGAGCAGGCAAAACATATTTCTTTAATTTCTTATGGGATTCATATTCAACTGAAAGTTATAACAGAATGGCACAATCATTAAAAAATCAAAACATGGCAACAAAGAAAAAATAAAATGACCCCTGTTTAAAAGTCTGCATACCTTTAGTTCGTAATACTGTGTATTGCCCCCTTTAGCATAAATTAGTGTGCAGTCTTTTGTAATAGTTATCTATGAGGCTGTATGCATTACATTTAGAAGGGGAGGAGTATGACATTTAAAAGGAAGGGCTGGATACCCATGACGTCGTGCGAAACGCGTCACGTACACGTCACGAGAGAGGCGGACCCGGAAGTGATCACGTGATCGGGACGGACGAAACCAGGAAGTGACTTTCTATCAGCCGTTTATATGCTTTTATGTGGGTAGCTATGTCCCCACAGTACTACAAGGAGCTACTTATGAAGGCTTTAAGCCACTTCGCTATTCAGTTATACCTGACGTACATTGGCTTCTGTATGGTGGGATTTAGGGGTTCTGGCGGCATGTACCGCTTCACTATCCGAGACACTTAGATATATGTCTCGGTCCCAAGCAGGATTCATTGTCTACAAAGTCCATATACTTTTAGCAGCTTTTGCCTACTAAATTATAATCTTGCAACTTGCCTGCTTGAGGTGTACCTGCCTCTAGACGAATACCAGCTATTTAATGGTGGAATTGGGATGATCTAATCTATGGTTGTACTACTAAGTTACTACACTTACTTTTCACTCTATAATTAGGCACTTGTCCAGTTACTCTAAGAGCTACCCTCCTTTCAAGGATACTAGGTCTATTAGGGGGTGGGTCTTACCTACCACCTTCTAGTCCCTTTTTTTTCTTCTCCTCTCGCTTTCATGCCCTGTTGTCTCCTACAACCACTACGACTCTGGCGGAGTGGTTTACCCCATTCCTAACCACCGTTGTACTCTATTCATATATCAAATGTGGGTATTTTACTTATCGTAATGAAATAAAGTTTACTTTTATTTATTATTACGTTTGCAGTTGATTTGTATATATCTTTGGTCCAATATTTGGCCACATAGGGGAGTGGCTTTTCCAAACCTATGCACCCTGCTTTAACATTAATGTATGCTGTACTACACTGGATGCCCCTACTTTTATTACAATTTCTACAATTTCACTCGCCAATCGCCATTGGCATATGGAAATCTTAAGCCATGATTAAAACATTCACTGTGAATTCCAACCTAGAACAGGCCTTAGAACTGGGGCACGGAAATGCTCTGTCTGGCAACATTAAGAACTTTATTACAGTTACCCTCCAGCTACAAAATGTTGAAGACATTTTTGAAACTCATGACGGTCATAAGAATGAACAAGAAGGTATAATGTCAACAGCCTGTGTTTGACTCAGGGAATATAATGTTGGATTAATTAGTATGAAATGTTAACTCAGAAAGCTGTCATTTTTAATTAGACTTTTCTAGAGTGTGTGCCTCCTAATTGTCTAAGGTTTTATAAAACAATACAGATTTGGGGAAATTTCATAAACCAGATTTCAACTGCAGTCAATAAGTTTAGTTTTGTAATGAATGTGTTCCTCTCTACTCACCATCTCCTAAATTTTTTTATTTGTTTTTCTTTTCCTTAAATAAACACTAAAAGCATCATAATTTGCGCTGTAGTGTTATGGTGCCAAAAGTGCCCTGGTGGTCTCCCAGAGAGGCAAGGTGTAACAGTTATCAGGCAAGATGTTAAACCTGGGCGTGAGCCAGAGGTGGGTGGGGAGGGGTGGTATAAATAAGGCAGTCTTGGCACCATAACCACTATATCCTTTAATCCTAGCACTGCTGACTGTTTTTGATGTATTTGCCAAATGGTTACTGTTGCTGCTAGAGGGCAGATAGTAGAGATTTAAACAGAGCCACCTTCAAAATGCTGGTAAAATTACCTGATTTGTTTTTAGTGAATCTGACTGAAATTCGGTGTTTGATAAATATTAAAATCCTAAATATTATATAGGAACAGCACAGATGAATGAATGATTTATAAGCAATCACTGGATGGTTCTGAGTTAGATGTTCTCATTTGGCCTACATAACCAAATTACTTCTGGCTTTGCCTACATAACCAAATTACTTCTGGCTTTACTAAATCGGTTGAAATTCAGTAATTATGTTTCTAACTTGAGTAAAATTATGGCTTTAGTGAATAAACCCTTTTGTGATTAACCCTGTTAGCGAATAGTGCAAAAATGCTAAAAGAAATAACTTGTGTTCATTTAGAGTTTGGTTCAGTGGAGAGAAATGTCTTGCCTCTGCTGTCATGCTAATTAAAATAAATCAAGGGGTTTCTTTGGAATTTAGCATGTGATAGTCATGAGATTGAGACAAAAAGGATTAAGGGAGTAAAGTAGTGTTTGTGTCCAGTATAGAAGAAATTCTCCACTGACTGAGAGGTAGGTACGATGAATAATTCTGTTTTCCCATTTAAAAGATCTGACTTTAATTTTGCTTTCACAGTGAGTAAAATTATACTCTACAGCAGTTAGATCAATTTAGCAACAGACAATGGTTTTATTCACAATTTGGCAAATTAAATAGTTAATTTTATTTATTTATTTGCACAGGTATACTTTTTGACAGCGATGTGAATCCTCATTGATGGGAACAGGCATATTGGGGTTTCTGTATACAAAACGTCAAATTCATCAACTCCATATTTGCACCAATTTGGTGCAAACTGGATATTTTCTTGTATGTGTAAAACTGTTAGTCCTTCCATTATATATTTGTGCAGTTTTCCACCTTTTCTTCAGTTAGTCATATTAATCAGTTCTGACACTTATGCATTTCTATATTTCGTTTTTATTTTATGTTTGTTTTTTTCTGATGATTTTACCATTGATTACATTAAAAAATAGGACAAATGAGTAATATTACTAGGAAAGAAAATGTTTATTTGCAAAAGATTGTATTGGAACATTAAACAAAAAACAGAAATGTGAAAGTGTACTATCTTTGTCAGAAAACCTACCACTATTACAGGCGCTGAAAAATTTGTCAGAAAGAAAAAGTGGAAATTGGGTCTAAACACTGCATGCTCACTTGTAAGGCTGTTTTATTGCCACCTTTCTTATTTCCTATTTGTGACAATTTTATTCAATTATTTGCCTGTTTTTCCGGTTCCATTTTGGTATTTTATTTCAGTTCACAAATGTGTTACTTCTAACACATAATTTTTATTTTATTGCATTAGAAAAACCAGTTACACAATACCAAGAGACAAGTCCTATAAAGTACATTACCAAAATAAAAAGATACAAACTGAATGAAAAAGACAAAGGGTATTACACTTAAGGGGTAACTCAATCCAACCCTTAATCTGCAACTCCTGTGTCCTTCCCTTGGAATGAAAGTGTTAATGGGCTTTTCCTGCACCAGTTATAATGGGTGTGGTGTATTTATGTGCAGTTTTAAGGGTGAATTGAGAGGCGGTAGTTTTGGTGTTGTAGTAAGGTAATTTTTTTTAATTTATTTTTTTGCCTTTTAGTAGCACCTTTGTAATGCCCCGTCCTGACTCCTCTCGTGTGATGGGAGCATTCAGCAGTGCTGGAAGAGGACATGGCTACTCAGGTCTTAGCTCAGAAGAGTGAGTATCAATATAATCTTATTCTGTACGTCTGACTTAATATCTGTGTATTGAAGGACTTTTTGGTATTAGTAGGTTAAAGCTATTAATGTGTTTATAAGCATGTCATGTATTGTAAATTAAAAGCTCAAATTACTTCCAATATAAAGGTTTGTGTATAAATACACGCTTATTCAAATGTGTGTTTATGCACACATAGTAAGTGGTTACTTTAAAGCTTTGTATGAACATTTTATTTTGGTCTGATACTTTTTCTGATATGGCACTCTGGCTTTTTTTTTTTTTTTTTTATAACTATAATTACGTACAAGTTTGGTCCATAAGCTCACATTATCTGCTATCTCTCTTCCATCCTGTTTAATTTTAGCTCCAAAATATTGCTTTTACAAGTCCATGATTTTTATTTTTGAGAGTTGTAGTACATTTGGCTTTCCTGCAGCAGAAGGCTGCAAATTCAACCACAATGCCACTAATGCCATTCTAAAACTGTGGTTGTGGCTTTTTGAATTACATTTTTTTTTAAATTTTATGATCCATATTTGGATAGTAATCTGTTCAATACGTAAATATACTCTAGAAGCATATGCCAGGTTGTCTTCTTTGAAATGAAGCACACCTGGCCATTTGATTACAACTGCATATTGTGAATATTCCCCTTTGGTATTTTACTCTAGTAATTGTGACCTTCAAGCGGATAGAGAACCTTATTCTCAATAATAAAATGGAAACCAAAATATAGTAAAGCCTACTATTTGATCCTTTTGGATTCTTGTGTAAATGTCTTGTTTTCTTTTTAGGGTTGCTGGCATAGCTATTCTTGCTATTATAGCTGCTGTTGTTTTCATTGCTGGATGTTGGTACTTTAAAAGGCGGAATGGCTACAAAATACTTGGGGTAAAAACATTTTTGTGTATTTATGAATGGGTACCTCTTACTGCAAAATTTTTCTTTTAATTTTTTTATTTTTTTTTTAAATCCCTGCTTAGCAGATACCCTTAATGAAAACTTGCATGCATGTAATTGTGCATTTCCCTCTCCCCCTTCAGGGTTATATCTAAAAACTTGCAAAAGCGGCAGATCTCATGGCTGAAGCCTATGCAAACCCTCTCCTTTCCAACTCCAGACTGTCTGTCCAATCAGACTTTCCACCTAACTTTAAGAACTCAATAGCTACAAGCTTACTCGATATTAATGTGCAGTAATTATTAGCATAACTTGTATTGTCTTTAAAGACAGTTCATGTGCACTTCAGCACCATAACTACTACATAACGCTTGTTGGTTATGGTTCCAGTAGTGCCCAGGTGCCAACTCATTATATGTAGCCTGTCTTAGAACAGTTTGTCTTATTACCTGGAGTCTGCTCTACTCCAATCTCTACCATAGGGCCAGAAGCTCCTGATTGGAGCCTTTGTTGGCTCCCCTGAGCCAAGTCTTGCGGTACACTGTAGCTCGTTAGTTGAGTCCTGCACTAGTGGCCTTAGCTCAGACAGAACTTTAGGTCCTTTTGGTTGAGGTGGGATAGAAATAAAACTGTTATAAACTGGTTTGACTGCTTACAAAGGGAAGCTCCTTACCAGGGCAGTCCTGGCACCATAACCACTACAAAATCTGTGTAGTAAAGATACTTGGAGCGCTTCCTTAAAAGGACTGATAAATGTCAATCCCTTATGGGAGTAGATGCAGTTGTAATAGTGGACACCACCAAGGTAAGCAGGGTATACCAACGGTAACTTATAATAAAAGCTACTTTATTAAATCCCAAGAACAATAAAACAGTAAAATTATCAAAGGCTAGTTGAGGCTTCAGCAACCTATGGCATGTGCGCCATGGATGGTAATTGGGGTGTCTTTCCATGGCACTCAATGCTGCTAGAACCAAACAAGCTCTGGCCTATCAGGAGTCACAGACTTCAGATTTCTGTTATTGTAAACAAAGTGGTAAGGGACAATCCTCAATTTATGCGTTGCAGCACTTAGAGGAAGTGATCTCAGACAAGTCCCCCAAGTACTTGTGAAAGGGAATCCGCACTGGTGTAGAGCAACCCTTGACCTGACCAGCCAGGTCCCCACTGGACTCCACACTGCCAGTTATACATAGAGCTGCAGAAGAGGCCTGTTGCTCATACAAATAATTAATACGGCTCAAACACATATAGCCCCCACAAACACACAATCACTGACAATCCACATATGCAACCCCACAAGCAGGCTTTCACATGCAATATCGTGTATGTATGTTTTAAAATTAAAAAAAGATCAATCCTTAGTGAGAAACATTTGTATAGGCTAGAGAGGTTTAAACTTGCTCACTGTTCTAAATGTCAAGTTGCATAATGTAGTTGCTAGGCTATCCTAGTAGGATACCTTCCCTTCTCACCTATGAGGAGAATTCTTTGGTGTCTTCTTAAAACCTCTACTATGCCATCAGCACATGCATATCTTCCACCATTCCTACAATGCTCTCTATGATGGCTGGGGGAGGACTAGGAACCATATGTAAAACATATTCTTAATCTAGATACTTGGCAGATTTCACCAGTTCTTGCTGCTGCTGAGGTGTTTTTGTGTGGTGGGTTTTTTTTTTTTTTTTTTTGGAAATATGAAACTAACGAGGCAATTGTCCATTTCTGAAACAAGTGAGAATTTGCTAGTGTTTAAGCAATCTGGTATCACATAACACTAGAACTACTATTCTTACTATCATAACTTCTTTAACAAATGCTTGTTTATCTTTGTTTACTATCACCGTTCCAAATCAATGATTACACATTCCAAAAATCAGACTAAGTTAACCTACCATAGGGCAATAACTTTTTAATAATTTAATACAAATACAACCAAATGAATGAACAATATCTTTAATATTAATCTGTTTAGCAATTATTAGACTTGGTTTGTAGATTGAGTGCAGTTTCTTATATTTACCAGGATGACCCTCTTCTATTACAACAAAATTAATTTACTTGGTTTATTTTAATTTTTTTTTTTTATATATAAGAGCCATGCATTCAGTCCAGCTGCAATAAGATCGTTAATGAGAGGGCCACGTGACAATGCAGAGTGCAAGGTACCATTGAAGGACTACAGCACCTTGACCAATGTGGTAGGTGCACATGATTCGTATTAATTATATGCAAGAAATACATAGTTTTGAATGCCCTTAATAAATAAGTGTATACAATTGTTTGTGTGGGTTAAAAAAAAAAATTAAAAAAATTGTGGCAATTAAATGACTTTTCATTGTATCCACTTTTCCTGTTTGATTTGCAGGTGCCTTGTGCTCCTCCTGCCTATGAGAAGATTGCTACAGTGTCACAACCACCACCATATACACCATAAACCATTTGCATCCTGCATGTTATCAACACAACTAAGTTGACTTGACAAATAATGTAATCTACCTACTGGCATTGTCACAATAAATTACTGAATTTACATCAAATGTTCTGTTTCTGTACTCTTTTGGGAATACTGGACCTGAGTAGCTAGTATGGTGGATTAAAAGGTGCATATAATATTTCCTTGTTGTTCAACCCCTTTTCATCTAGATCTCGGTGACTGGACTTGGGTAGTGTTTTATTAATACTGTGAGTAGTGGTACAAGGCACTTCAGTTTGATTTTATTTTTTTTTGGATAAATAATGGACTGGCCAAACATGCGAAAAATGCAACACTCTCTCTGTTGGATAGCTCTTTAGACCACAATCAATGCCTGCAAAAAACTGTTAAAGTACAGTCATGCATAAAAAGGTATTCTCTAATGTAGTTAAAATAGAAATGTATGTTATAACTTGTAAGTGCTTATGCACTGCAATTTTCGCACTTGTCTTCAAGAATACTATAAAAGCTAACAAGGGAACTTAAGTTTAAAAGCATACTGAAGGTGTATTGGCTTACACTAGAAAACATGTCTCAAAGGTTACATATTGAAATATATGCAAGGCCATTACAAACTGCCAGAGGTAGCTCAGCTTGAGGCCAAATAAGTGAGTGTCTAATGCAGGGCTCAACAAATCCCAGGTTAGCATGGCGATTAGAAATTTGGTCCTGGCAGGCCTTTAGAGAAGGCTGGCCGCTCGCCCGCAGGTAGCGTGTGAGGGAGCAGTAATCTTACTATAGGTCCTCTCTACTCCCAATACTGTTTAGTGATGCCAGGAGCCGAAATGACATAACTCCGGCATCACTACAGGGAGCAGAGAGGAACTGCAGGTAGATGAGTGAGCTGGACCACTGTGAAAGATCCACTTGGCTCTCTTAAAGCTAGAGAGGCTGGGTGGACGTAAATGAAAATAAAAATTTGAATTTATGTGAAAGTGTCTCTGTACCTGTCCCCCTCCTATCACACAGGAAAGGTGTGGGTTATTTTTTTATTTTATTTTTTTAACGCAATACAGGCTCTCATGAACACTCCTCATCAATCTTTATGATTTCAGCTAAGTCAATGCTTTCCCATAGGAAAGCTTTAGGAGGATATTGTGCATGTGCAGCAAAATGCTGTGCTGAGCCAATCAACATCTCCTCATAGAGATGCATTGAATTGATGCATCTCTATGGGGGAACATTCAGAAGCTCAATGAAGAGCATGGAGACGTTGAACATGGGTTCAGTGTCTAGGAATTGGCTCTAGTGGCTGTCTGAGTGACTGCCATTAGAGGTGTCCCAAGGCAGCAATGTAAACTTTTTTTAAGCCTGCAGGGACATGCTACAGACACTATAACAACTACATTAAGCTGCAGTTGTTCTGCACTGTTACTTGGGCTAAAGGAAAACTCGAAGCACCACAGTATGCTGGAGCTGTGGCTCCAAGACTGCTTTGGCACCCTCCCAAGGTATGCAGTCAGATGGATAAGCACTGATCCTCTCAGCCTTTAGCTATTGAAGCTGGGTTCAGCTCATTGGTTGAGAAAGTCAAACTGATGCTCTCAGTGAGCCAGCCCTGCACTGCAGAGCTTAGCTAGGAAGACCTAATGGAGTCTCCTTGCAGGAGCTTCCCATTTGTCAAACCACTTTTTTTATTTTTATTTTTTTTATTTATTTTTTTTGGAATTGGAATGCTACATCTCAAGAAGTGATATACCCACAAGCAGCAGTATAAATAATTCTTGAGTGAGAAGGCTATTAATGACAAATTTTCTGTTCACCTGACAGATGGCATTTACTCAGCGAGCCAACTACTACCCTGTTAATGGAAATTTATACATGGTTTACTGGATATACTATAGCTTGTCAAGTGTGTTGTGCTTGTGATATATAAATTTTTTTTTTAATTTATTATTTTTTTTTTTAAATTGCCTGTAGACGGTCACTCAATGCTCAAGAAAATCAAAACTGGCTTAAAGGACCACTCTAGGCACCCAGACCACTTCAGCTTAATGAAGTTGTCTGGGTGCCAGGTCCAGATAGGGTTAACCCATTTTTTCATAAACATAGCAGTTTCAAAGAATGGGTTAAGCCTTTATGAATGGGTTAAGCCTTCCCCTATTTCCTCTAGTGGCTCTCATTGACAGCCACTAGAGGCGCTTGCGTGCTTCTCACTGTGATTTTCAGTGAGGGCACGCCAGCGTCCATAGGAAAGCATTATGAATGCTTTCCTATGTGACCGGCTGAATGCGCGCGCAGCTCTTCCCACGCGTGTGCATTCAGCCGACGGGGAGGAGGATCGGAAAGGAGAGCTCTCCGCCCAGCGCTGGAAAAAGGTAAGTTTAAACACCTTTCCCCCTTCCAGAGCCGGGTGGGAGGGGGACCCTGAGGGTGGGGGCACCCTCAGGGCACTATAGTGCCAGGAAAACGAGTTTTCTTGGCACTATAGTGGTCCTTTAAGAAGCAATATTAACAGCAGTTGATAATGTGCCATTGTGGGACTTTCAGATGTTCTTTGATTTGGTTTTCTTATAGATCTAATATGTCAAAGTTGTGAAAAGATAGTGATCTAACACAAAACTTCTTTAAATGTTTTTCCAAAATGAGACTAGAACTCCAAATGGATGTAGCATGAATCTGTCACAGGGTAAGATTCATAGAAACGTCACTTTTTAAACCTTGCTCACATAAGCAAATATGGTTGCCCGACCATGTGATGTGGACTTTGTTGCAAATAGCTGTGCACTCCATAGCTAGTTATCACAAACTAATTTCAAGTATTGGAGTGGTCTCTAACGGTGTCCATAGCCTACCCTCTCTTCAACTGCAGTGATGTGGTTACTAAACTTAAGCATTATCATGTGTGAATGCATCCAACTTGGATGGCAGTGTTTGGTTGAGAGTGAAGGCCATACAAACGGTAAACCTATTGAAATAAGTCCATGTTAACATTTTAAGGATCTTGAGCTGTAGATAATGCAGTCAAATTCTGCAAAACAAAGAAACCCCTGAGGAATTATTAGCCCACTCGGTTTGGATGCTATAGCCTTCTTTCTTGTGACTTAATCTATACCAGGGTTGCCCAACAGGTAGATCCCCAGATGTTGTAGAACTAAAACTCCCATGATGCTTTGTCATTCTAAAGGCATGCAAAGCATGGGAGTTGTAGTTTTACATCATCTGGGGATCTACCGCTTGGGCAGCCCTGATCTACACTAATCTTTTCTCAAGCACAGGTCTCACCTCCCGTGTCATGTGCATGTGTTTGTGACATCGTTATTGTGTAAATAAGCATGCTTAATACCTGGTAATTGTCTTTAAGAATGTGATCATGGACCATGAGATCCATAACAGATGGGATAAAGTGTACCCAAGCAGCACAGAACCAGCCACAAAAATGTTTTTGAAAGACTTAAAAGGTTGCAGGAGACTAAATAACATTTTCCGCTAAATTACAGGTCAACAAATGCAAGTTGTTTCCTTGCAAATCTGCCTAGTAAGCCACATCAACTGACTCAGGAGGTAGTAAATGCTTTTGTAGAAATGAGTTATGAACGGCTACTCTAGCCCTGATGAAATCAGAGATAGGGAAGCATATAGAACTGACAGGCTGGACAAGCTACTAGCCAAAGAAATAGCCATAAAAAAAAGCAAAACGTCCAAATCCTGCCGCTTCCATCTCAAAAACAGTGCGTGCATCCGACCCTACTTAATGCCAGATGCCACTAAGGTGCTGGTCCAGTTCACTGTTCTTACCCACCTTGACTACTGTAATCTGCTTCTCAGTGGTCTTACGTGCTCCCAACTTGCACCGATACAGTCCATAATGAATGTGGGGGCGAGGCTCATCTTCCTGACCACCCACGCCTCACCCTTCTGTTAGTCCCTACATTGGCTTCCTGTAAGCTATAGGGCTCAATTTAAAATTCTGGTTGTTGCTTTCAAACCTCTACATAATGCTGCTCCCACCTATCTAGCTTCCTTAATACACAAGTATATCCCGTCTAGGCCCTTACGCTCTGCTGAAGACTTTTGTCTGTACTCCCACCTCTGATGCTCGCCTTCAAGACTTCTCGAGGGCTGCACACTTCCTGTGGTACTCTCTTCCCTCCTCCATTAGATGCTCACCCAGTCTCCACTCCTTCAAAAAAAATCATTTAAAAACCCACTTCTTCATAAAAGTGTATCAATGAAACTGTTAATAGCTCCCAAATGATTCCTCTCTTGCAACTGTCATTAGTCTAATACTATCCTTACCTTTTGTGTCACTTTACCCCACTCCCTCTAGCATGTAAGCTCATGGAGCAGGGCCCTCATCCCGTCTGTTCCTGTGTGTCCAACTTGTCTGGTTACAACTGCATGTTTGTTCGTCCACCCACTGTAAAGCGCTGTGGAATTTGTTGGCGCTACATAAATAACATAACATAATAATGTCATTTACTGAGATTCCAACTTGCGCATTGGTAAAAAAGGGGAGTGTTGAAACACCTGCAGAAACAAACTCCACTACAGAGGCTGTAGGACAAACCACTGGATGGACATTGGTAAATGGGTCAGGCACTTATAAAACACAACTGAAAGTCCAAAGATTTAACATTTTCTAGGCCACTTGAAGGAAATTCTGCAGGATTTAAAGCCATGGAAAAAAGCACCAGGCCAAACCTTACTCTACATGTAAATCAAGACCGTTTTCTGGGCCTGCACAAGGGTGTCAGTGACTCCTTCATAAAAATCTCTTCACCATAGTTGTTCAAATGGCATGTGGTCAAAAAAAAAGTTCTTGGGTTAAGGTGTCTTTACAGGCCCTGAATAAAATATGTGGGCATAAAGCACAATTTCAAGACTTCTTTAGCATGAGACTACATTCTAGAAAACCACATTGGGGCTGAGAATTACTTGTATAGAATCCTGGCGTATTCTTTCTTCAGTTTTTGGGATCATTGAGGATGGGGAGAAATTAGTAAATCAGATTGCAATTCCAATGGGCTCATGAGCTTCATAATGAGGTATGGAGCTATTTCATCTATCTCTATGACTGCTTATTTACCAAAGAGGTGAATATGTCTGAATGGAGATTCTAGTAGTGAGTTGCTTCCTGCCCCAGAGGAAACAATTGTTTCAGAGACAAGAATGATCCCCACACTGCAGCTCAAGGTGCTGGCATTTATCATGTTCTAGGCCTACAAAAGAAGTAGCATTGGATCTGTAGATGGTAGAACTTTCACTGAGAGAAATCTGCTGAGTCGCTATTCTCCTGCCTGATGAAAGATGGTTGCAGCTGCCAAAGGCAAAACATGATAAATGTTACCACATCCAAGGACACTACTGTGATGCCCAGCTTCTCTATACAATCTGCCAGTCATGACTGCAACTGGGCAAGGAGAAGACAGGCAGGATGAAGCTTTTCTAAATCTGTGTCCATGAGGAAGACTCACATAGGCTGTATAGTGAACTATACCCGGAAAAGTGTCTCTTTAAATGGGTAGTAGTAAGCTCTAGTGTTGGTTTACACACCAGCCAAGGTGTCTCAGGATTAAGCAAAGTAAGGCTATGTGAGTGACTACTTGCTCATAATTGGAGCAGGGATTAAAATGCTCAAATGAAACCTGCGAAGAGGCAGTTTTATGTTTAGGCAGAATATAAATTTTACTCAACAGATACATTATAAAGCCACAAGTATGTGAACACTCGGCCATCACAGCTATATGAAATTGTTGGACATCCCATTTCAAAACCCTGGGCATTACTATCGCAGCCAAGGCAGGTGTTGTCAGGGATGTATAAACAAAGAGATTTGTCTTCTAAATGACAGATAATTGAGCAGTGAGATTTCAGAAACATGACCTATATATCAAAATGGCTTCATTACGTTTATGTTGGTTTTGGTGGCTAGAACCACAAAACCAAAATCTATGTAAGCGCTTAAAGAACTAGAAACAAAGAATACACAGTTGTAGCAGCGCTTTCACACAGTGACACAACCATGACACAAAGTGTATAGAAAAATATACCAGACCAATGTAGCGCGCTTAAACTGGATGATATCTTGCCTTATATGTAGTGTACTATAAAATAATAGAAAAAAACATAGTGCAGACCATCTGTTGGAATAGTACAATATTATATTAGAGTATACAGTAGAAAACTCACATATACCAGAGCCATATCACCCCTGGCTCTGAGTTTGGAGTGCACCTGTGGAGAGGGATATTTCCCACAACATGGTATTCAGGTTGATAATTCCAGGTAATGCATATACAGGTATTCTACAGGAGTAGGAGATAAGAAGAGAGGCAAAGACCTCCAATTGGATAGTATCTGAATGATTTTATTATTATAAAAGGTTAAAAATGCTTACTTATGAATTGGTGGGCATGCCAGCAAAATACCTACAAAAACACAGGTTAAAACAGCTTGAAAACACTGCCAGTATACAGCTACTGTATGCTATGTAGCATAAATATCACATACAAACACACCCCTGCATTCAAACTCCAAAAGGATATACAAACACACCCCTTCACTCAAACACAAATACTTCACACAAATGTACATTTCAAAGTGAACATTACATTCAGACACACCCCTGCAATCAAACGTAAACATTACATACAACACACCCCTGTATTAAAACACTTAAACTATATACAAGCACCCCTTCAAAAAGTAACACTGTAACACTATAGCGCTGTAAATGCCGCAGTGCTGTACATATATACAACCTAGAAATTTGACTTGGTGTGCCTTGAAAAAATATTCAAATATTAAAGGCGCCTTGAACCTAAAAAGTTTGGGAACCACTGCTCTATGGAAAGCATTCAGTGTCTTCACAAACAGCATGTTGACCATAAAACAGAGCACCTCTAGTGGCGGTCCCTAAGGACATATTTAACCCCTTAAGGACACAGCTTCAAAAGCTTATCTTACGCTTAATGACACAAGCAATTTTTGCATTTTCTTGCTGTTTGCATTCAACTGCAATTTGCATCTCTCTCGTTTATTGCACCGACACATATTATATACTGTTTTTTTTAAATTCTTTATTTTTGAATTTTTTTTCATTTTCATTGGGGTTAGGGTAGAGAATAGAACAAGGGAGTGCGATTATTGTTACAGAGTTCGTAGAGCTTATGTTTGCGGTTTATGACAGTCTTGCATATGAAACAGGTTTATGACGATTTTTCTGTACATAACATTTGTTGCTGCTCTAGATCTAAGGATTGGGGAGGGGTGCTCTATTGTGTTTTTTTTTTTAAATCTTTATTTTTGTATTTTGCCTTTTTTATAAGAATAGGGTTGTACAGAAATGTGAAAGAATTGGGTTAGAGCACAGTGAATAGTTACATTTGTTTGCCTTGTACTGTTGCCAGGACGCATAAGCTTGTCTTATCAACGATGTGGTGGTTGTGTTCCCAGCGAGGTTTTGGGGTCGAGGGAGTAATGTTTGCTGTAGGGATAGGGCCTCTCAGTACTGTTGTTCCGTGTCTCCAGTCTGTAGGGGTGCATCGGTTATGATGGTTTGGTGTTTGATTATTCAGTATGGTTAGGTTGGTCGTGTGCTAGTGATTGGATGCTATTTGATAGTTATGAATGTCCCTGTGGGTCTCTCCACTTACGTGTGTCCTTTTACTGTCTGCTCCGGGTTTGTTGTGGTCCGTTCTCTGGGAGTCAAGAGTGCGGCTCTGTTCCGTGCCCAAGTGTTCTGTGCCCGGGTGTTGGGGGTAGGGTCCAGGTGGTTATAGAGTGGGGTGGGGGGTTGAGAGGAGGGGGTTTAGGTGGGTATCGCTATGAGTTGGGTGTTGAGGTTCGTCACAGCCCACTGCCCCAGCCAGTTGGGTAGGAGTGGGGAGTGCTGTGGGGTTGACAGTGGATGTGTCGAGGGTGCTTTATGTATGCTGTCCATTTTCTGTTAGGTGCGTGGCTCGTATGTTTGTGTGTTTTTCCTTCTCTGTATGTCTTTACCATGGCAAGGTGGTGTCTCCCTCTAGCCAGGGATCCCATACTTTGTGGAAGTATTTAGGTGTGTCGTGTAGTTGTAAGGTTAGCTTGTCCATCTGTATGCAATCTTGTATTTTATTTGCAATGGTTGCTTGTGTTGGTATGCGGGTTGAGGACCATACCTCTGCGATTGCTTACGCGTGGCCAAAGCTATGCGAACGCTCACTTTGTTTTCTGCTCTGGTGAGTGAGTCTATGGGCTTTGAGAGCAGGAGAGCCCAGGGATCCAGTGGGTATGGTTTGTGTAGTATTTTTGTTATCAGTGCCGTGATGCTGTTCCAAAGGGGTTTCAGTCTGGGGCAGGTCCACCAGCAATGGAGAAATGTTCCGGGTTCGCCGCACAGTTTCCAGCAGGTTTCGGTGGCGGTTCTATTGATGATGGCCAAGCGTTGAGGGGTGAGATACCAGCGGAAGAGCATCTTGTATGCCTGTTCTACGTGTGTTACGCAGATCGAAAGGGATTCTGTGGCTTTCCATATGTCTGCCCAGTCGATGTTGTTTTCTGGGG